ATAAATCGCTATACACCGGCAACTCGGAAGCAGAGCATATCGTCTTTTGATGGAGAAGGTAAAAGAATATGGGTTTGGTCTATGCTTCTTGGTCGTCTCTGTCATTTTCGTGTCAAGAGTCAAGGATTTTGAGGGGTTAAAATGTTCAGTCAGGGTTATAAGTTGGTAGGAAAGTTTTGTAATTTTTCAGAAAATGCTCGAGTCTGTAAGAGTAGTAGCTCTGTCTCTCTCTCTTTGTGTTCTTTATAAAAACTCTGTTGTGGCATTTGTAACACATCTCTGTCCCATTTTCTTTTACGTTTTTGGTTAACGGAGCAAAATTGACGCCTCCTTAAAACTCGGTTCGCTTAAATTAACCAAACCAAAATTCGATTACTTTCTACAGTACGAAACTTCCTCTCGTTGACCAATTAAAAGTCTTGTTTACTCATTCCTCATAGATTAAGGAAACTGATAAAAGTCGAAACCCTTTTCCTTCTTCTCCAAATTTCTCAATTTCTCTCTTCTTTTCAAGTCTCTGTCTCGTCCGAATCCCCCAGATTTCTTCACGGAGTAGAAGAAGATGAAGAGAGTTTTCGGCGCGAAAAAGAACACAGAACCTCCTCCCTCTATTCAGGATGCATCTGATCGGGTTTCTCCTCTTATACTATGCTATATTTCTCTCTTTTTCGGTTTCAATTTGGGATTTTCCTCTGTAAGTCGTTTCTAGTGCAATGTGGAGGATTAGAGATTTGTGTAGCGATTTCGGGAGATATTGATTTCTGGATTCAATCGTGTTTGATCATCGATCATTCTTTTTTAGATCAATGGCTTTGGTGATTTCATCTTTGGATTGATTGAAATTTACGTGGTTTTGTTTTACAACTCGTAGGAGAGTTTAAGAGCTATTAGAATAATCAGTAAGAAGAGAAAAAAAGAAACTCAGCTTTGTTGCAATTTTTATGTTTTGTCAGATAAATAAAAGGGGAGATTCAGTAGAAGATAAGATTAAGAAGCTTGATGTTGAGCTCTGCAAATACAGAGAACAGATCAAAAAGACAAGACCTGGTCCAGCTCAAGAAGCCGTCAAAGCTCGTGCCATGAGGGTTTTGAAGCAGAAGAAAATGTGAGTCTTTAGGCTGCATTCCTGAATTAATCGATTTAAGAGCTACTCTGTTCATTGGCTATGGTTGATAAACACCTAATCACATATTGCTTATTAGGTATGAAGGACAACGCGACATGCTTTATAATCAGACATTCAATCTCGATCAAGTTTCATTCGCCGCTGAAGGTCTCAAAGATGCTCAGCAAACTGTACGTATCGTTTGTTCTCACATTTCTAAGAGGTGTTTTATGTTGAATGTTTGTATAAACCATTGAATCTGCAGATGACGGCGCTAAAATCTGCGAACAAGGAGTTGAAAGGAATGATGAAAACCGTAAAGCTTCAAGATATAGATGTACGTTAAGTTACTTACTACACATCTCGGTTTATAACTCATTTCAAGTTTTTTCTCTTGTATTTGATTTGCCTGATACTATTCTCTGATGGTACAGAATATGCAAGATGAGATGATGGATCTGATGGATGTAAGTTCTGAGATTCAAGAAACACTTGGAAGGAGCTACAATATTCCTGATGGCCTTGATGAAGATGACCTTATGGGAGGTAAATTTTTTTGCTGCGTAATTGGGATAAGCATAAAATTACATTTCACTTTTGATTTTAATCGGCTTTTGGTATATTTCAGAGCTTGATGCTCTTGAAGCTGACATGGGAAACGAGACCGAAACAGATGGAATGCCTTCTTATCTCCAACCTGATAAAGAAACGGATTTCGATAACGAACTTAACTTTCCGTCTGTACCAATAGGAGGCACTGGGGCTCCTTCGGGTCGAGTTCAGGTTAAGTTTCTAAACCTTTTATATCTTTTAACACTAAGAATTTTAGTTTTTTCAAATTTGAAATGCTTCAAAGTATGATTAGCTGCTGATGAGAGGCTAATTAAAGGTTTAACGATGTGATTAACAGGCTGAGGATGAGTTTGGATTACCCGCGGTACCACGAGCTTCTCTCCGGGGATAAATTCCGGCGCTTGTATTGTGGTGTGAAGTCACTAGCCTTGGTTTTTCTCATTCATTTTGTGCATAACGTTTATTGGATTTTATAAATGAATCTCGGTTTCAAGGTTTGTGTATTATCAGTTTTCTCTGCTTGCAAAATCATTTGGATTATGGGAACTGTAAAGTCTGTAATCCCAAAAAATTAGCCAAATGGGCCATAACAATCTTAATGGGCCTCTCACCGCTTTGAATCTCCACTCTTCATCTTCCTTCCTCCTCGAACCTTTTTCTTCATCGATGGATCAACCACCGGATCGGAGCAAGCGACCGTGGAGATTCTCGTCGTTCGTCTACTTTTCTTCGATCGTATTCCTTCTCCTTGCGATATTCACACTAAGCTTCACTACGGCTGGTCTCTACAAAACCCAAAGTCTGAGATTCACCTTCACTGCGAGTCGCTTCTATAGCTATCTCCAATCTCGTCTCAAGTTTTACAATGTAACTCCCAAATCAAAATCCGAAACCCTAAACCCCGCGTCGTCTTCTTCCCACTGCGTGTTATGGATGGCTCCTTTCCTCTCAAGCGGTGGTTACAGCTCAGAAGCTTGGTCTTACATTTTATCACTTCATCACCATCTCAAAAACCCTAGATTTCGAATCACAATCGAGCATCATGGTGATCTAGAGTCAGTAGAGTTTTGGAATGGTTTAGCTAAAGAGACAAAGGAGCTAGCGATCGAAATGTACAAGACTCAGTGTAGTCCCAACGAGACGATCGTCGTTTGTCATAGCGAGCCTGGTGCTTGGTATCCACCATTGTTCGAGACTCTTCCTTGTCCTCCCACTGGTTACGAAGATTTCTTATCTGTGATTGGTAGAACAATGTTTGAGACTGATAGAGTCAATCCAGAGCATGTGGAGCGATGTAACCAGATGGATCATGTTTGGGTTCCTACTGAGTTTCATGTATCTACGTTTGTACAAAGTGGGGTTGATTCGTCTAAGGTTGTGAAGATTGTGCAGCCTGTTGATGTCGCCTTCTTCGATCCTTCCAAGTACGAGCCTTTGGATTTGATGAATATTGGGGATTTGGTTTTAGGTTCTGGAACGAAGAAATCGGGTTTAGGGTTTGTGTTCTTGAGTGTGTTTAAGTGGGAGCAGAGAAAAGGTTGGGATGTGTTGTTGAAAGCTTACCTAAGAGAGTTCTCGGGTAAAGACAATGTTGCTCTGTTTTTGTTGACAAACGCGTATCACTCGGACAGCGATTTCGGTAACAAGATTCTAGATTTCGTCGAAGAATTGAATCTAGAAAAGCCTCAAGATGGTTACCCTTCTGCGTATGTGATTGATAAACACATAGCTCAAGTTGATTTGCCTCGGTTGTACAAAGCGGCTGATGCGTTTGTGTTGCCTACAAGAGGAGAAGGATGGGGACGACCGATAGTGGAAGCCATGGCAATGTCTTTGCCTGTGATTGCAACAAACTGGTCAGGACCAACAGAGTATCTGACAGAGCAGAACGGTTACCCGTTGGTGGTCGAGGAAATGAGTGAAGTGAAGGAAGGTCCTTTTGAAGGTCATCAGTGGGCAGAGCCATCTGTGGATAAGCTTAGGGTTCTAATGAGGCATGTAATGAGTAAACCTGATGAGGCTAAGGTTAAAGGAAACCGCGGAAGAGACGACATGGTAAAGAATTTTGCTCCTGAGGTTGTAGCTAAGGTAGTTGCGGATCAAATCGACAGAATCTTTGATGAGAAAATAAGAAGATGACATGATTTCACTCTTGGCTTAGAACACGGATTGTATTTTCTTTATTCATGGATTGTTTTTAAAAAAGCAAATATGCCAAGAACAGCTTCTTGAGTATCTTAATGGAAAAATTTGTGAATTTTGGTTTGTTTTTACTGGAGATGAGAAGCGAAAACCGACAGGACTTCCTTGTACACTGGCTTCTTGAAATCCACTGCCTGTGTAACAGAAATAGAAGAAGATGAGTAAAGAAGTAGCAGAACCTAAATGCTGGAGCCATCACAAAATGAAACAAAATCATACTCACAAGTTCAATGAGTTGGTCAGGAGATACCCAGGACCATTCTCCAAACTCTGGTTTCTCAGTTCCATCACCAAGAAGATTGATTTCTTCATCTTTTCCAGTAAATTTAAGGAGGAACCTGAGAATTCCAAACAGTATATTATCAGTTTCTTTCAACAAGCTCGTAATCAAATTACATAATTCTTCATTTATCTCTGAATGTCCCATAGACTGACCATTTCTGAGCTTGACCCTTCCAATCTGATCCCCATCGGACCTTAAGCTTCTCTCTAACATCTGGAGGGAAATCATATGTTACCCAGTGAGGTGCCTAAAGACAAAAAGAAGAAGCCATGTTCTTAGTAGTTGTGCTGAGATTGGATATAATAAAGCTTATGACATACTGTTTTAAGAAGAAACCAAACCTCAGCGATAATCTCAGCAGAGTGAACTCCAGTCTCTTCTTTAAGCTCTCTCATAACCGCAACTCTCGGATCTTCACCCTCATCGATTCCACCCTAGTCAATTGATACAACAACCAAAAATCAAAGAAATTTGGAGAAAGTAATCCAAAAAATATACACACATTTCGCAAAATAGAACTTGACGGATTCGGATCATCAATGGATTATTCAAAGACAAGCAAGATGATACAACTACAGGTGAAACCATCGGTTTTAGCTTTGTATGAAATTTAAAAAGAAATGGAGAAACCAATTCAAATCGAATCTAAAGATCATACCTGAGGCATTTGCCAAGCACTGGGAATATCCAACCTCGAGGCAGCAAAAATCTGCACTTATTGGAGAACGATTTCAATCAGAAAACCAAAATCGTAGTATAACCTGCGAATTCAACATCAATCATCACCTTTTTGGAAGAGTTCATGAGGCAGACACCGACATTTCTTCTGTACCCCTCGGGAGGAGACTCCATGGATGACAAAGACGAAGAACACCGAGCGGAGGAAGCCGGAGACTGACTGTAGCGGTGGACGAAGGGTAAGCTGGAGAATTTGAGCGGTTTCAAGGGGTAATTTCGGAAGAAGAGAATTACAGGCGGAGAAGTTGGATCATGTAAGAGAAGTGATCGGTACACTGCCATTTCATCAGAGGGGGAACTCGATTTCGAGCCAAACCTACTTTCCACGCGTTCGGGAAATAATATCTGATTGGACAATTATGCCCTTGACTAATCACGAATATTACAGAAAACAAATATTTACATCATAGATTAGTGTTAAAGGTAAGAGAATTTAAAGTCCAATTTCATTTTTATGTACAGACATTTGAGTTAATCGTTTGAAACAAAACATGATTGTGGATAGAAACAGAGAAGATAAGTGGGGTTTTCAATTGATTGTAACTCCAAAACTCTAGTTCCAAATAGACAAAAGATGATAAACAAAAAGTCAAACCAAAGAGAAAGTTGTAACTTCAAGACATTAATTTAGAATCCAAGTAAACAATGTTGAATTCATAACACTCCAATAAAACCGAACTCTTTGATTCAGACTGATAGACTCAAGCCTTAGAATCTTCTTGCCGGTCGGCCATACGCATTGCTTGGAGCTTGTGTCTCCACTACAGAAACCCCGGGAGTTTCAGACATTCCCAAAGAAGAAAGCATCTCTAGAGTCTCTTTGTCGACCTTAATCTCATCGGTTTTGATGGCTGACTCGTCGGGGACAAAGTCCATGCGTCGTTCACGCTCTTCCTCTTGTAGCTTGAGGGAGATTCCACGGACTGGACCCTTTTGGATACGTTTCATCAAGTGGGTGGAGAATCCGGCAATCTTGTTGCGTAGTCTTTTTGATGGGATGATTGCAACTTCTTCCAAGATCTTTTTGTTGGTGTGGAAGTCGAGGGTCATGCGAGAGTAGTACTTCTCGATCACCTGACGGGAAGACTTCTTCACGGTTTTGGTACGAACACGACCCATGTTTCACCGCGTTTTTTACTTACCTGCCCAAATTAGACCAAACCATGAGTGAACATT